CTATACAGTCGTTGTGAGCGGACATCATGCACCCAGGTGGCAATTCGGATCGTTTGGCTTGGGCGAACTGCAGTTGAAACAGCCAGTCAAGATCGTACAAGACCATAAGGGTTTCTCCTACATACTCGACACGGGCAACAATCGAAGTTAGAAATTACTGCATTACTTTACACTGTATTACCAAATTACTGCATACATTACTGTATTACCAAAATACTGTATACATTACTGTATTACCAAATTACTACACCACATTACTGTATCATCAAATTACTGTATACATTACCATATACTACTTTACTACGTTACTTCCATTATCCTTTATTTGTTATATAATACTTCATTTACTTATTATACAATCTAAGCCACCGTCACTATATTACTTGTACTGCACGTTACTAAACACGTTACTGTACTACCAAATTACGGCACACATTAAAACTATTACTTTTACCATATAAGTAATAATAATTACTACTTCAAAATACATTTCCAGTCAAAATGCTCGATGGAAACGGTGAGTACCTGGACGATATTCATAGTGAGGCGTTGAAGGACGCAAGTACCGTCGGTATGACCATTCTACCGTCTGGGGACATCCTAACCCTGAATTGGCGTACCAAGGAGATCACCAAGTGCACACATAACGGTGAAACGTTGCAGGTCTGCTAAAAATTCCCCGAAATTTTTCATACATCATCAAAAATGCCCCCAATAAGTCTCACCTAAACCTGAAACCACTCCTACCCTGTCGGAAAAAAATCATTTTCCATGAAAAAAATCCCAAAATCTGAAAAAAATTCCAAAAAACTAAATCCCACATCTAAAATTTCACACCTTCAGGTCATGAGTTTCTCTGAGTTTATGGAACCAATCGATATAACTGTCGATAGTCGAAGCCGAATACTAATCGCTGACACTGGATGCGCAAAGGTAAGTACCAAAATCAATTTAACAATAAATAATAAAGTACATAAATACAAAAATAATAATTATTAAAACCAACAATAATTCATTAAAAAATAATTAATTACAAATCAAACAACCACCACACCGACCCGCACAGCACCAACCACAACAATGAAAACAATATGCCTACTCAATTAATTTTATAACAAATTTCAAAACCTCACTGGGGTGGTGGCAATTCGCCAAACCTAATACCGCAATCTAGCTGGGAACGAATCGCCACACCAAGCTGTGCGGGACGAAACGCCAAATCCCAAATTGCCAATTTGGCACCACGCCAAACAAAAATTTATGCATATCCGCGTAA